ACCCCGATAAACGCCGACAATCGCCAAAAAAACGTTGACAAACTTTGACAAAAGCTGAAAAACGTAAAAAATTAACGCGTTCAGTCGTCCTAACACCATTCTTCATGTCTGATTTGATGTTGGAGACATCCCACACTTAATTACTAGATATCGTGCAGAACAATGGACTCAACACAACAAGATACCATGTAGAAACAAAAGATTTTAGAAATTTAATGACAAAATCAATAGGCTTCACCATAGTCAGACATCGTACACAATGGAGTCTCTCAAACCAAACACAATATTTAATTAAAGCAATATTCCCTGTGAAACAGTAAGATATGGAACAGCTGGCCTTATCAACAGCACTATGTGTAGGTCTCGTACAGCTGGCCTTATCAAAAAAAAATGTGTAGATCTCGTACAGCTGGCCTTATCAATACCACTATGTCTAGGTCTCGTACAGCTGGCCTTATCAATAGCACTATGTGTTGGTCTCGTACTGCTGGCCTTATCAACAGCACTATGGGTAGGTCTCGCACAGCTCGATTTATCAATAAAACTATGTGTAGTTCTTGTACAGCTGGCCTTATCAATAAAATTATGTGCAGGTCTCGTACAGCTAACCTGATCAACAGCACTATTTCTAGGTGCCGTAGTGCTGTCCTTATCAATAGCACTATGCGTAGGTCTCGAATAGTTGGCCTAATCAACAGCACTGTTTCTAGGTCTCGTACATCAAACCTTATCAATAGCACTATGTTCAAATCTCGCACTGCTTTCCTTATCAACATCACTGTATTTTTGTCAAAGATATTTAAAACTTTACATATATTTTTTGTTGACAAGGGAAAGAAAAGTTGTAAATTTTTTTTTAACCATTTTAGCCGAGTTGGTGCCAAAGAAAATGTGTCAACTATGCCAATATAATTTTGTTTTCAGATAAATACTTCTCAAAACTCTTTGATTTAGACACGTAAACATCAATATAGAGATTTGTTCTTTTAAATATAAGAATTCCCCGATCAACTATTTCCTAAATATTTTAATGTGTGGTATATGACCCTATTTGTTAGTGCCTAAAATATTAAAACCCAACAGTCAAATGTTAAAATATGTGATTGTAAGATTCTAAAACTTCGCTACAGCAGGTAGAAAGAAGCACTGAATTCCCATCACTATTGTTCCGGCAACATCGGGTGATATCTACTAGTACTACAATAAGAAATATAGTATAAAAAATGTGATAAAAAGAATATAACCGAATTGCCTGACCCAAACCTGTCTAAAGTATGATAGTGAGAAAGAGAGAGATGGAGACGGAGAGAGAAAAAAAGCTAGAGAAAGATAGAGATAGACAGAGAGATATAGACATAGAGAGATAGAAAGAGCGAGATAGAAAAAGATAGATAGACAAAGAGAGAGAGAGTCAGGGAGAAATAGAGAGATCTAGAGGGATAGATATAGAGAGATACACGGAGAGAGAATGACAGAGAGATAGAAAGGTCGAGTTTGACAAAGAGAGAGAGAGACAGAGGGAGATTAACTGAAAGAGAGATAGACAGAGCGAGAGAGACAAAGAGAGAGACAGAGAGGGATAGACAGAGAGAAATACACAGAGAGTGAGAAGATGTGTTCGTGAGTGAGTGGAAGAGACATAACGAGTAAAAGAGTGCGAAAGACATTGAGATAGAGAGAGAAAGTACAATAGAAGAAGAGACGGGGAAAGAGAGAATGTTCGAGAAATGCATACATTTCAAACTGTACGAGAGCTATATACAGCGATGTTGATAGAGCAATCTGATCGAGAGCTATTGCTAGTGCTGTTGATATGGCAAGCTGTTCGAGGTTATCAACAGCACTATGTCTAGGTCAGATAGGAAGAATGGTGTTAGAATGATTAAAACTCGTTAAAACCTTTGGGACAAATCAACTTTATGTTCAACCACAAAGGAGAAAAACAATTACAAAAGCATTAAGAATAATTTTATTATCCTTACTGGAGTTGACTTGTGCGTCTTCTTTAACGTTGTGCATGCAGTGGCGTGTCCGTCATGACGGTGACGTAGTCTTTAGAAGGGGTTACTTAGTACGACTTGATGGGAGTGTCCCTGGGAGACATTGTGAAATAGATGGAATGGTAGACAGACGATAGAAAAAAAGGGCGGGGGGCGGGGTGAGTCAAATATTGAGAAAAACAGAACGATCGATTGAGAGAGAGAAATAGAGAATTAGAAAGAGTGAGTCATTGAAAGAAATAGTAAGAGATAGTATCTGTGCTAGAGAAATTGAGAGAGATATAGTTAAGGAGAGATACCAACGACTGAACGAGAGAGTGGGGCAGAGAGTGAAGTTCACGGAGAGAGAGAGAGAGCTTGAGAGCTAGAGAAAGGGTTAGTGGGGTAAAAAGAAAATGTAAACTACAATAAAATGGAAAGAGAAAGTGCATTATGGTCATATTAAAAAAAAGTCTCTGTGAGTTGCTATGTTTTGGGATGGATGTGTTGATATACCGTAGAATATTTCTTCCATTTGCAAATACGCATCTGTATCTTTTAAGTTAATGATATGCTGGCCAGTTTTTGTCACTTCAGACAACAATAAACGCACACGTTGTGTCTGCTTTCAACATTCTTCAACATTGTTGCCATTCCTGTGATCCAAGTAACGGACATCTTTTGACACTTAGCTAACAAGTAAGTCTTCATATTCAATTAGTATGGAGATCTACTAAATTCTATTAATATTGGTCACTTGATGTGAAATTTGTAAAGATCTAAAATAATTAGATAGTATATTATTAAATAGCGGGTCAAATTATGCAAGTTGAAGTAGACTAGTAAAATACTTTCTATCAAAATACTCAATTAACACACAGTGTTAATTCACACAATTCACACAGTGACAAACGTTTGATGTCATGAAAAACCCGATTATTTTGAATGAAATCGTTTTTGTAAACTTTTATTTTGTGTACTTTCCTGGCACATCTGAAGTTATTTATTAAAATGAGGTTAATTTATAAAATTATAATCTATAACAACTTAAGAAATACGTTCGTTATGTTTTTGAAGGTTATATTATAGCTAGAGGTAAGTCGTTTTTTGATTGTTGATTTTTTTTTTATTACCACCTTTGTTTTTTTTTTTTTTTTTTGCGTCATTTAAATAATTTTTTTTAACCAAATGGTGAGTTTTGAGTTAATAAATTTTTATTAAAAATTTGAACATTAAAAAAAAANCCTTAACAATTGTTTCTAATGAAATTTTACCTCAATATCATTTGAAATAAATTATGTTAATTCACATTTTTTTTCTCAAGACAGCTTTGAAAGTTCCCCCATTAATGAAATCTATGGATCTTATCAATTAATTAGTGAAACTTAAGATATTTTTTTAAAGGACTCCTTATATAACACTAATAGGGCCCTATTGTTTCAAACCTTACATAACACAAATAAGGCCCTATGGTTTCACACCTTATATAACAAAATAGGGCCCTATGGTTTCACACCTTACATAGCACAAATAGGGCCCTATGGTTTCACACCTTACATAGCACAAATAGGGCCCTATTGTTTCACCCTACACACATGTTAAGCGTGATACGCCTATGACATAATTTATAAACAAAAGATTTTCCTAGACACTTTCCATTTCAGTACCATATTGAACTATAACCAGTTTTTACATCTGTCAAATACTTGTTCTCCACTTTTTAAAGCAGGCAGCTGCACATACAAACTAAATGTACTAAGGTTAACTTAAAAAGTTTATATCAGTCATGCTATGGGAAATATAAAACTCAAATTAAGAAATCTTTATTTAAAATATTTATTAGGCAACGTCGTCCCATTCAAAAACACTCATAATTTAAGTCGAACTAAAACAGGGGGGGGGGGGGTCACTGTATAAGTCTTCGGTTCCTTGTGTTAAAAATTTAGAAGAATGCCATTATAAAAGGAGAACTTATTTTAAAATATTTATTAGAGTGGCATAATTCTATGACTGAGCTAAATAAAATATCGAAGTTTCTTATACTGAATAAGTTGTCCGAAATTTGTTTTTAAAGAATATCATTTTGTGCAGCTATCGGGAATTTTGATTTCATGAAATCAGTATCATCATATTTCCTTCCTAAAAAAAACAAAATGTGGGAGGAAAGGTGGGGGGGGTAGGGTTGGGGCTGAACATTTGACAGAATGTGTTGTCATTGGCAACGAGTCTATGTGCCACGTTCTAGGTCAATAGGTTGACAGGAGGTTGGTCAATTAGCAATCCGAAATCCGAACAGTGTTCCTTTACCAAACAAGAGCAACGTTAATATAAAAGGTTTTATTGTTTAAAGAAAGGAATAGACGCAATGTAGCAAAAAGTGTAAAAACTTTATACGAATGTATAAAATAGATATTCCCATAGTAAAATGTTTATTATTGGAGAGTCAGAAAACTAATGCAATACACGGCTGATTTTAGTACACTATAAACAGTGTGTAAACTAGAGTGTAATTAGGGAAGAAAACAAGGTTGTCATTTTTATTGAACATTTTAGGACATTGGGGTTTGTAAATAAATTGACGGTAATCTGAAATGTCATACAAAATGCGGGTCTTAAAAAAAAAAAAAAAGAATCCGTAAACTTTAGAATGATATCCATACAAAGAGACTCCTACAATTTTATTGAACATTTTAGGAAATTGGGGTTTGTAAATAAATTGACGGTAATCTGAAATGTCATACAAAATGCGGGTCTTAAAAAAAAAAAAAAAAGAATCCGTAAACTTTAGAATGATATCCATACAAAGAGACTCCTACAAGTGGCACCTTACATTTATACAACTGTTGGTCTCGGTGGTACTTTCATGACCTAAAAACTAATAGGTATATTACATTTTATTAATAAATTAGTATATCGGGTAACTAAATGTGTATGTTGCCTCGGTGTATTTTGCATTAGTATATATAGGTAAAATTTGTTAAAATAAAAATAATAGATACAATTTAGAGAAATCTATTCAGCTCCCAATCAAACTGAGATGTGTTTATTTTTTGGAGATATGTTGTTACGGGTTGCCCTATGTTATTTTATTATTTTTATGTAATAATTTTGTGGCGAACATCTAATGCATCAAAGGTGGTTATTTTTTCATGCTTTTGAAAAGGGCTACTTTTAGAAGTCCCTTTATTAAACATGGACTAATAGAGGGATCTAACAAGGGGGGGGGGCGGCTAACAGAGGGGCCTATGAGAGAGGCTTAACAGACAGGCCGAAGAGTCTGGCTTAACAGAGAGGCTTAATAGAGGGGCCTCACAGAGGGTCGGATAGAGAAGCCTGATAGAGATGCCTCACAGAGGGGCCTAAAAGAGGGGCTTAACAGAGAGGCCTCACACAGGGTTCTAACATGGGGGCCTAACAGAGTGGCCTAACGACTGACCTAACAGACTGGCTTCACAGAGGGGCCTAACGGGGGGTCTAACAGAGGGGGCTAGCAGAGGGGCCTATGAGAGAGGCCTAACAGTCAGGCCTAAGAGACTGACTTTACAGAGAGGCTTAAAAGAGGGGCCTCACAGAGGGGCCTAAAAGAGAGGCCTAACATGGAGTCTAACAGGGGGGATTAACGGAGAGGCCTAACAGGGGGTCTAACAAGGGGACTTAACAGAGAGGCCTAACGACAGGCCTAACAGACTGGCTTAACAGAGGGCCCCAACAGAGAGGCCTCACAGAGGGGTCTAACAGTGGGGCCTACAGAGAGGCCACATAGAGGCGCCTAACAGAAGGATCTAACAGATAGGTCTCAAAAAGATGTATAAAGGAGGTCTAAAAGAGGGGCCTAACAGAGGGGCTAAACAGAAAGGCCTTACACAGGGGTCTAACATGGGGGCCTAACAGAGAGGCCCAACAGAAAGGCTTAACAGAGGTGTTTAACTAGGGGACCTAACAAAGAGGCCTCACATAGGAGCCTAAAAGGGAGCATTATAGAGGGGCCTAAGAGAAAGGCCTTACAGAGGGGTCTAAAAGGTAAAAGGGGGCATTATAGAGGGGCCTAACAGAGAGTCCTAACAGAGGGCTCTATGAGTGGAGCCTAACAGAAAGGCGTAACAATGAGTCCTCAAAGAGGGGTCCAATAAGCGGCCTAACAGAAGGCCTAAAAGAGAAGCCTCACAGAGGGGTCTAAAAGGGGGCCTAACATAGAGGCCTCACAGCTGGATCTATCAGAGGGGCTTAACAGATAGGCCTAAAATAGGGACCTAACAGTGAAGTCTACCAGTGGGGCCTAACAGAGAGGCCTAACAGAGAGGCCTCACACTGGATCTAACAAAAGGGCTTAACGGGGAGGCCTCACAGTGGGGCCTAACAGAGTGACCTAACAGAGGGGCCTCACAGAGTTGCCTAACAGGTGGGCGACACGTTACAGAGACTGTTGATGATGTTGTCCAACTCGGGCTGAAGCAGACGGTAACTCTTGGGGTCAGTTGTGTTCGTTGTGTCGTTGATGAGGATGGGAGGCTGGTTGTTTTTGACGACTGTCAACTCCTGGAGATCGATTGCATGTTTTCCCTGAAATAAGTGACAGTTTTAAACTATCATATACTTAAATTGAATCAACTTGGCAGACATGTCAACGATCATATCTCAAATAAGGAAACCCCATTTCCTACTTGGGGGGTCTTAAAGGGATGACAACAGATCAAACTTATAAGATTTTATTCACATAATTACAGCTCAATCCTGCAGTGCAGAAAAAAAAAAGAACCAGGCAAAGCAATGTTATAGTGTAATGCTAATGACTCAGTTAGAGTTACTGTCGCCAGCGTTAGGCAAAAAAAAAATTTAAAAAATTTCTAAATAAAAAAAAATGCAGCACACAAAAAGATAAACTCTTTTATAACTAGAATCCCCCACCCCGGGGATACCCGCCCCTCTATCCCTTTCCAACGCGTTATCTAACACTCTCCTTGGCTGCGTCCCAACATGGAATAACACTAATAATAAAAAAAACATTATCAATAATTTTTTTTTAAATTTTGAATATTTGTGGCTTAAGATTTCAACAATGTTTATTTTAATGGAAAATAAATAAAATCATAAACACTGCTCGACACCCACACACAGCCCACTGCCACATTTAGCCCACTGACAGACACAGCCCACTGCCACCCACAGCCCACAGCCTCTCTAATCCCATTGCCACACACAGCCCGATGCAACACTCAGCCCATTGCCACACACAGCCAAATGCTCACTCAGCCCACTGCCACACTCAGCCCACTGCCTCACCTAGTTCGCTGCCACACACAGCCAACTGCATCACTCAGCCCACCACCACTCTCAAGCGCACTAACACACTCAGCCCACTGACAAATTAAGCCCACTGCCTGTCACAACCCACTGCAACACTCAGCCCACTGCCTCACCCAGCCCACTGATACACTCAGCCCACTGTTTTACACAGCAAACTGCTACACACAAACCACCCACTGCCACACTCAAGCCCACTGACACACTCAGCCCAGTTCCTCACCCAGCCCACTGCCACACTCAAGCCCACTGACACACTCAGCCCGTTGTCAAATTAAGCCCACTGCCTCTCAAGCCCACTGACACACTCAGCCCAGTGCCTCACCCAGCCCACTGCCACACTCAAGCCCACTGACACACTCAGCCCATTGTCAAATTAAGCCCACTGCCTCTCCCAGCCCACTGCCACACTCAGACCACTGCCTTACCCAGCCCACTGCCACACTCGGCCCAGTGCCTCACCCAGTCCGCTGCCACAATCTTCCAGTGCCACACTCAGCCCACTGCCACACTCAAGCCCACTGATACACTCAGCGCAGTGACAAATTAAGCCAACTGCCACTCACAGCCCACTGCCACACTCAGCCCACTGCCTCACCCAGCCCACTGACACACTCAGCCCACTGACAAGCTCAGACCACTGCGTCTCACAGCCCACTGCCACACTCAGCCCAGTTCCTCACCCAGTCCGCTGCCACACGCATCCCACTGCAACACTCAGTCCACTGCCACACTCAAGCCCACTGATACACTTAGCCCAGTGACAAATTAAGCCCACTGCCTCTCACAGCCCACTGCCACACTCAGCTCACTGCCTCACCCAGCCCACTGACACACTCAGCCCACTGACACGCTCAGACCACTGCCATTCACAGCCCACTGCCATACTCAGCCTGCAACAGCAAGTCTGCTGCTACATCTAGCCCACTGCCACATTCAGTCCAAGCCACATTCATCCCCCTGCCATTTCCAGGCAACTGCTACACCCAACATAGTAACACTCAGCCCACCGCCACTCTCAGCCCACTTCAACACTCAGCCCACTGGTTGATATTTTCAATGTATTATTCTGAATGTCTGACTAACATTTATTGAATACACCCCAGAAAGGCTAGAGTTCTACCACTTACTTTTACAGCAATGACCGTTATGTTCCAACCCAAAGAGCGGACTCTTTGAGCCTCAAGTTGGGCCAACAATCTCCTGTTGGTGTTCCCTGATCCTTGAGATGATATAACTATCAGTCGGTTGTTGGTGTAAGTGGGTCCTGATGTGATGCCGTGAAGGCCGCGGTAGGTCCATGAACCACCCTGAAAGATTATGGATAATATTTTAATAGTAAAGTTATTGGCAGTAACATTTTAACAGTGAAATGATTGGCAATAACATTTTAATTGGGACTGTTTTTCAAAATGAAAACGATCCATTCTTAAGGCGGCTGGTTTGTAACAGAACGGGGGTTCACAGGGAGGGCTACGGCCCTGACTTGGCACAAACTATTTTGACGTAGCAGTGGTCACTACAGGTCAGCTTCTCTTTTGTTTTGTTTTTTACAATTGTATTGCCAAGGTGGACAAAAATGATATCAATTTCAAAGTTAAGTGGTCTACTTGAAACTGGTGCATCCAAAATGGGGACATTGGATAAAAATGAGTGTTTATATTGTCGAAAGATTGCTGATGGTCTATTGTTCAATCAAATCACGCATCTCTCTCAAGATGGTGGATAGTGGTTCTTCCAGTACATATAATTTTGTAGCAAATCTTCTATAATATCAAACCATTGATTGTTTCTATTGCTGATAGTCTATTGTTCAATCAAATCACGCATCTCTCTCAGGATAATGGATAAGTGGTTCTTTTAGTACAGAGAAGTTTGAAGCAATTCTTCTATAATATCAAACCATTGATTGTTTCTATTGCTGATAGCCTATTGTTCAATCAAATCAGGCATCTCTCTCAAGATGGTGAATAGTGGTTCTTCCAGTACAGATAATTTTGTAGCAAATCTTCTATGATATCAAACCATTGATTGTTTCTGTTGCTGATAGTCTATTGTTCAATCAAATCACGCATCTCTCTCAAGATGGTGGATAAGTGGTTCTTTTAGTACAGAGAAGTTTGAAGCAATTCTTCTATAATATCAAACCATTGATTGTTTCTATTGCTGATAGCCTATTGTTCAATCAAATCAGGCATCTCTCTCAAGATGGTGGATAGTGGTTCTTCCAGTACAGATAATTTTGTAGCAAATCTTCTATAATATCAAACCATTGATTGTTTCTATTGTTGATAGCCTATTGTTCAATCAAATCAGGCATCTCTCTCAAAATGGTGGATAAGTGGTTCTTTTGGTACATAGAAGTTTGTAGCAAATCTTCTATAATATCAAGTCATTGGTTGTTTATATTGCTGATAGTCTATTGTTCAATCAAATCAGGTATCTCTCTTAAGATGGTGGATAAGTGCTTCTTCCAGTACAGAGACGTGTGTAGCAAATCTTATATAATATCAAACCGTTGCAGAAAAGGTTTTTGATTGTTTAAAGAAACAAAAATTTGCTAATTGTACTACATTTTACAATTGTCTGAGAAGATATAAATACTGCTCACTATGTGTGCTCGATCAGTTATTTTTACATCTTCTTGCCTAGTTATGGGGAAAACATCTTCTAAATCAAATTTATATGTACAGAATTTGTTATCATCTGGTACATCAAGAAAGTTGGAGTACAATTGTTAATAGCTGGATGCCGGTCCGCGCTCGTATAGAGTACAAAATTGCAACTTTGTGCTACCGCTGCTTACATGACCTGGCGCCATCTTATCTCAAAGCACTCATGACGCCTTATGTACCCACTAGAGAGCTCCGCTCATCCGATAGTGAAAAAATATCGATACCGTGTGTTCGCCTTGAGACTTACGGAAAGGGCACTTTTGCATTTGCTGGCCCAACAATTTGGAACGCTCTTCCAGTCGCTCTCAGAAACAGCCAGACACTGGGGTCCTTTAAAACCGATTTAATAACACATCTATTTCCCAAAACTTTCTGGAGGTGATGCTATCTACCATCTTTTTTTCAGTTAAAGTATATTGGCTTGTGTTGCTTATGGTTGAAATGGGATGAAAGACTTTAACTTGGTATGCTCGTATGTAGTTTTATATTGTTGCGTCTGTTTTTTAAATGTGGTAAATTTTAAATTGTTTTCTATTTCTCTTTTCAATATGGTTGACTTTGTACCGCGCTTCGAGCTTTTGGGGATAAAGCGTGGTTTTCAAATAAACTTTGTTATTATTATTATATATAATAATGAGCTAGGTTCACATAACGCCAAAAGGTAGAAAATATTTAAGTACGTTCGGATTCTTAAAAACAATCACAATTATTTTCTATTATTTAACGGAAAGCAAATAAATTTAAATGCGCAAAAATATTTTAAATCCGCTTTTATTTTAGTAAACGTTTAAGTATTAATATTATAAATGACAAATACATTGAAAGTATCAACTAACTAACTATTTTAAGCATTTTATATGTGTTTAAAAGTAAAGAAATTGTTTTTTTTTAATTAAAAAAAATCATGATCAAAGATTACACCGTATTCACATTTATTGGGAAAATCCAAACATCAGTCGTTTTTAGTGCGTCTTTCAGTGCGTTTTTAACATTGCGAAATAAAATTTTAATTTAATGTATTCTAAATAAACACGCAAATGACGTCATAGCGTGGATAGCTTATTTCTCCAAAACTCATAAGTTTTTTTAAAAATTTAATAACCGCGAGCCAGATAACTGATACTGTATTTTCCCTTTTAAAAGTAAAATTAATAAATAAAATTGATTGCTTTTTAAATTGTTAATAAAACACACACATATTTCTGCTGTGTATATTAACATTAAAAAGTTTTGCCTTTTTTTATTCCAAAAATATACATTTATAAAAATTATAACGTAATAAAAACTAACATTGAATATATAATTATAATAACAACATGTGATTTAAGTCAAAACAGTGCAGCGCAACTCCGTAGCCAAAAAGAATTGATGAATCAACGTATAACTAAAACAAAAAAGAACGAACCATATGAAGTGCAAATTATTTTAGTTTGGGTATGGAAAGGACTACATTAGCTATAAAATGTTTTCCCTTTCGTACAGCTGCAGAGATGGCTTAGTACCGGAGCATCTCAAGGACCTTATTTATAAACATGTACTTCTGAAGAACCTACGGTCTTCAACACAGTACTTACTGAGTGTTACTAGAGTGTATGAACACAGAAAACCGTCTTGTGGAGTGCGCTCTTTTGAAGCGATACCGCCAAAATTATGGAACATTTTGCATCAATCTTTGTGGGGAATTGTAATATGATAAAGAAAAACTGTTTTGTTTCAATAGATTTCGGAGGACCAGAGCGCAGTGAGCATGCTGAAGTGGCATGGATACAAGCGCGATATAAATATCAAATCAAACAATCCGGTAGAAGATTCTTCTAAATTTATTTAAATCTTGGTGGGGGAGAGGTTTGTTACTTTGCCCCACGCAGCACAAGATACGTCTCAAAATAAAGTAATGAATATGATAAATAATCAATCTTTTTTGGAACTTATATTTCAGATGTAGGAAATAGGATGTGTACATTTTTACGTTGATGACAATATATTTAAATCCTTTGGTATTACCTTTGGGAAAAAAGAGATGTTGCATTCTCTTTTTACAAATAGTAAAAAAAACGGGTTGAAAGACTTTGACATTGTATGCTTGTAATTAGTTTTTGTAGTGTTGCGTTTGTTTTAAATGTGGTAAATTATAGATTTGTTTTTGTTGACTGTGTACCGCGCTTCGAGCCTTTGGGGATGAAGCGTGTTTTTGAAATGAACTTTATTATTATTATTATTATTAAATATGGGTGTGTTCATTTTGCCCAAGGCGGCACAAAATTAAGGAATCGTTTGATAAATAAATATCTTTCTCGGGTAAATACATATCGGACGTAAGAAATAAGATGTGTACATTTTTACATGGATGACAATATAGTTAACTCCTATGGTATTACATTTGTGAAAAAGAGATGTTACATTCTCCTTTCACAAATATGGGTATGTTCATGTTGTATTTTATGAGATTAAACATTTAAATTTTAAAAATAAAAAAAACAACAAGAAGACTCAAATCTGTTATAGAAGTGAAAAAAGGTAGCGCGATTCTTCTTTAGATAAAATAATTCTTTGTTTTAAGATTTTCTGATCATACATTATTTTATTTTTTTAAAGTGCTCAAAATGTGTTAAAATTGTTGCTGAAGATATCAATATAATATATTGAATTTCTATAATATAAAATATTTTTATATCATATATAGGGTTTTGGTGTAAATTTATGGCAATTTTTTAAAAACAATTTTTAGAGAAAAAAAGTTGCAATTCAAGGGCACGAAAAGATGGCAATTTTTTTAAAACAATTTTTAGAGAAAAAAAGTTGCAATTCAAGGGCACAAAAAAGGGAAATCTAAAGTATTTCTCTAACGTAGCTTTGTCCCTCAATTAACTTCTTTAGTAACAAACAATATAATTAGTAATAATTTAGACTGTGTAATGTAATATCATCTTAGAGGGGGAAAAAAGTAGTTTAGGAGCGTGAAAATGAGTAGGGTAGGCATATAATATATAGCAGGTAAATTGTTCCCAAAACGCAATGATGCTACAAACGTAAATATCATTAAATTTTTAAAGTTATTAATTGTGATGAGTTTTTGCAATAGCAGTTCAAAATTTTCGCATAGGATCTATCATTATTAACCCGATAACATCGGCTCATTTATTCTAGTTATTAATAACACATCATTCAGAACGTTTTCTGAACATTAGATGTGTGTGTCAGTTATCATTGATTATGGTTAGTACGTTTAAGTATAATAATTTTAATGGATTACATTGTTCTGATAGAGTTTCAGTCATCCAGTTAACAGTGGAAACAATATTACTTTAACTACAAATAAAACGACTAACAGAGCCCCTAACAGAGCCACTAAATGAGCCCCTAGCAGAGCCACCTGGTTCTTTTTGAAGTGCATTCTATTTTTAACATTTGAGAAACATGCTAGAACTGAACTAATTGTGTTGCTGCTATAGTCAAACTGTGTAATGTATAGCTTAAACACTAGCACAACAAGGACGCAAGACGAAAAGCTCATCAGGAGCAGGCCCGGTTTAACCACTATGCAAACTAAGCGGCCGCCTAGGACGGCACATTTATGGGACAGCAATGCGGCACTGTGAGCTACATAAAAATATAAATATAAAATTTGCCGCCCTTTTGTAATAAATGAATTGAAAAATTTTGTTAGTGGGGTGACGCCGCCATTAAAACATTGAATTAAATTGCATAGTTTTTTAACACTAATATTAACTGTTTTCTTAAAACGAATGAAACGAATTGCATAGTAAAAATTTGATTACTTACATTACGGGCAAATACGGCCACATCCGGTGACGTCATTTCATTTTGAAATGACGTCAATTTTGAAAATAAAATAAATAATTTAAATTTTTTTATCGTCGACAGGCTACTTAAAAACTTTAAGTAATTTTCTTCTTTTTATTTTTTTACCGTTGAAAGTCCTTTGTTTCCACGCACGGCATGGGTAGGACATGCACAAATGAGTGCATCGAGTCTGACGAGTGTTGCAACTCAATGGAGTTTTGGAGTGATTTGTTTTTACGGCCGCGTCCCCTTCCCCGACGCCAGCCTCACTTAGAGGATCCAGGTTACCCTATTTAAACCCGGGCCAATGAGCTGAGCAGAGCTCTGTGTAAGCAGGGGCGTAACATATTTAGTTTAACTTGTGTACAACGTTAGATTAAAAATCATTTGATTTAGTTATTTAAACTTGTATATGTAAATGGCAATTATTTTATTTACAAAAATGAATTAGAAATACAGCAAAATAGTTAACCATAATAACATTTCATTTTGCAGATTCCGTCGTTATTTCAATCCCCATGGCAGAGAGAAAACAATTTTCTGGCGCACAGTATCGAAATCGAAGTGATGAAAATGAAAAATACCTTTAAAAAACCAAGGAGACTCGTTGTTAAAATATCTATGTACACCGCACAGAGACGAAGGCGGTACAGAGGAGTTCAACAATCAAGCCGAAGCAGAGACTAGGAAGCGGTGGAATCCGAGGAGATGACAGTATCAGAAGAGTTTTAAGCACAACATGAAATGCACGGTACGCACCAAGAAACAAAATCTGAAGTGCATAAAATCGATAATTTAAATGGTTTATATTTTAAATATGACGATCCTGTACTTGGACAGAATTTGATAATCACATGCGACAAATTTTAATAGAACATGGACTAGAGCAGTTTGAGCAGTTTGATTTTCCCAAAGACAGTAATCAAAGGAAATTCTCAAAAAGTCATTACAACCACATGCTTGTCACTGGGGATGAAATTCGCAGACACTGGCTGCAGTATTCTGTAAGTAATGACTCTGTTTATTGTCTCTGCTGCAAGCTGTTTACCAGCACAACAGGTGCGTCATCTCTTTCTGATAAAGGTTCACATGATTCGAAAAACATGACCGCAATTCTATCAGGACATGAGAAAAGCGGTGAACATCTAGCGAATGTTCAGTCATGGAAGGAACTTGAGCTGCGTCTGCGACACATGAACACAATTGATGCCGAGCATTTACGTCTCATTAAAAAAGAAGAACAATATTGGCAGCAAATCTTTAAACGGCTGATTGCTTTATTTAGAGTTCTTGGCATGCAAAATCTTGCTTTTCGCGGAACACATGAGAAACTGAAACTTGTGATAACGGGAACTCCCTGAAATTTGTGGCATTTCTAGCTATGTTTGAGCCATTTAAGGATGAGCATCTTGGACAGGTTCGCCTAGGGTGCCAAATACTCTGGCGCCGGCCCTGATCAGGACACACTCAACCGTTAATGTGAGCCAGTGTACTAAGGTCAAATTAAAAGTACATCTTTCCCCACTCACATTCGACATCAGAAGCAGCCCGTCCACCAGGGAGTCTATGGCAGCGGCAGGGGATGAACCCGGGGGGATGACTGACGAGACGTTTTCACCGCTACTGTAGCCATAGCCACCTACGCTGAGGATGAGGGAAGGAGGGGATATGGTTCAAAGGTCAAGCGTTGCAGCTTAACGGTAGCATTATTTTAATTGCTAATTTTAAATTGTGTGATACTTGTATGGCGTTTCTTATTGGACTTGGAATTAAAACAGCCCTAAAAATTTTTAAAAAATTCCCAAAAATTCTTCATAAAAGTAGAGAAAGATAGGAAGAAATTAAAATAATAAATATAAGAATCCCAATTACTCCCCCCCCCCCCCCCCCCCCAGAACACCCCCCCCCCCCCCCAAACCATTCTGATTCGACAGCTCACATTTTGTTCACGCCCCTGAACTATATTAATACTCTCTAACAAAGAAGATTTGTAAAAATCATTTATATTAACTTCGCTATCGACCCCAACATCCCAAAATCATTTTTTTTTTCAATGGAAAGGTAACATTACATTCCCGGTAACTGAGCTAAATGAGATTCTTTTCTTTTTTTTTTTAAAATATATGGCGTTTGGTGAAATAGTTCTGCTGTGTAAAACTGGTGGGTATTAGATTATTATTATAGTTATGAGTGTAAAAAAAGAATCTTATCCATCGCATTTATTGGAAAAAATATTTGATAAAATCATTGTCATAATATTTCCTTAATTTGGGAGTGGGCTGAAAATTTGCAAGAAAAAAAATGTGGTGTAATCAGCAATGAGTCTGTGTGCCAAGTTTCAGCTCGATTGGTTAATGAGATCTGGGTCAAATAGCCGTCAAAATATTTTGTCATCCGCGAAGCTAAAAAGCCAATTTAATATTAAGGATAAAAAAATTTTTTTTTTTTTACTGTTCTTGATTTTTTTTAAGTGTTTGGGGGTTGGGGTGGGGACACATGTTGGTGTTATTTAAAAATTCTGTAAGAATGTGGTTAATTTAATAAGAAGAATATTATTTTTGCAGTGATTAAAATTTTTCTATTTTTTTCTTTACTCCACCAGCAATTGACAGTCTCACTGACCTTATAGTAACGGACCTCGCTGTGTTGAGGATACGAGTATTGAGCAGAGCCTTGCTGACCTGCTCTTGGAGGATGTGAAATTTCATCGAATCATTTTTTAAGTCCTTGCTGGACGCGGCCCATGCGTTTTCGGATTGGTCAAACAGAAAATGGAGATCCATATTTGGACACGCTGGAAAGAGAAGACATTGAGAATTTCAATTCATTTAATGTAGAAAGGTTCATACTCGTATTTTCTTGTCGTGAATCCCTTCTCCTAAACTCTCTTAAACAGTCAAGAGACAAAAAATTATTACGGTTTCTTTTGTTGTTTGACATGTCCTAAGAAAAATATAATTACCTTATTTTTTTTTAAATGTGATGTTAAGTATTGTTACTAATAAAAAAAAATATATAATCTGGATGCTAAATAATTTTCTTTTTGGCAATATTTATGTATTTTCTTATTTATATATTTTTAATGCTGATGGATGCAGGATATTGTACTATGGGTGATGGATATAGTACTATAAGTGCTGGATGTGGTACTACGGATGTTGCATGTGAAACTATGGGTGTTGGATGTAGTATTATAGGTGCTCGTTGTGTTACTGTGGGTGATGTATGTGGTACTGTGTGTGCAGGATGTAATACTATGGATGCTGGATGTGATACAATCGAGTGCTGGATTGGTTCTATTAGTTCTGGATGTGATACTATTTTAGCTGGATGTGATACTATAAGTTCTTGGTTGGTAGCATGGGAATGGTCGTGACACCATAAGTGCTGGATTGGTACTATGAATACTGGAATCCGGTACTATGGGTGCTGGATGTGGTACTATGAGTGCTGGATGGGGTACTCTTTGGGCTGGATGGGGTAGTATTGGTGTTGAATGTAGTGCTATGGGTGCTGTATGTGATCATATTGGTGCTGGATTTAGTTTTGTTGCTGGATGTGGTACTATGAGTGCCTGATGGGGTATTCTTTGGGCTGGATGTGGTAGTATCGTGTTGAATGTAGTGCTATGGGTGCTGTATGTGATCATATTGGTGCTGGATTTAGTTTTTTTCTGGATGTAGTACTATGAGTGTAGAATGGGGTAATTTGGGTGCTTTATGTGGCACTTTGAGTGTTGTTTGTGATACCATTGCTATTATGAGTGCTTCATGTTTTACTTGGTGTGATGGGGCACATGCTGTTGAAGATCTTGTTTAATTCTGTCGCTAGGAGACGGTAACTTTTTGGGTCGGTTTCATTTGTTTGGTCCACGATGAGAATGGGAAACTTGTTGTTGTTGACTGCTGCCAACTCTAGAACATCGATGAAATTCTTGCCCTGAAATTTGAAATAGTCATCATACGATTCGATAATAAGCAATAATCAGTTTTAAAAAAAAATAATAATAAGTTAAGCCGTTGCTACATTCCGCTTGTTTTGTTTTTTTTACACATTCCTTCAAATCTCATCAATGTTCATTTCAATGACTTACCACGGCGACAATGACGGTTATGTTCCAACCCAGAGAACGGACTCTTTGAGCCTCCTGTTGGGCCAACAATCTCCTGTTGGTGTTCCCTGATCCTTGAGATGATATAACTATCAGTCGGTTGTTGGTGTAAGTGGGTCCTGATGTGATGCCTTGCAGACCGCGGTAGGTCCATGATCCACCCTAATATAAATTATGTCAAAGAGGTGCCATTTAGGTATTTTGTATGGGTCTTATAGGGATAAAAGATGTGAAGGTTTCAATTTAATGGTCAAATATCTAAAATATTTTGACGAAAGCTTGAAAATAAAATAACACAACTATCAATAGGTAATGCAGTTGAAGAGAGAAAGCTAATGAAAGAAGATGTGCTGTGGCTTCATTAAAGAACTTTACGTCATGTAGATAGATTAATGATTTGTTGAATTACAACCCTATAAGAAACGAAGCCATTGCACAGATTATCAATTTAGCAGTTTGTAATAACGTCATAGTTTGCCAAGCATTAGGTTTAGGGTCAATGTTCCCTCTACGGTTTGTTGGTTCGTGTGCAAAATCATAAATTTGTGTGCAAATTTTTAAAGCATCAAATTTTTGTTAGCTCAAATTTTACAGCCTACAGACACAAACACACCCTTAAGTGGAAATTAGCTACACGGTACTCAAAACTGCTTCGCGGCGTCTGTGAGATTACTGCGCCTCCGCGCAGCATAAATGGAACATTGGTTGTGGTTAGGTTCATGGTAATAATTAGGTTTATGGTTAGGGTTATGGTTAGGATTATGGTTAAGGTTATGGTTAGGTTATGGTTAGGATTATGGTAAGGTTTATGGTAAGGTTATGGTTAGGGTTATGGTTAGGTTATGTGATTCTAACCTTGCGGCCGCATGTGCTTGTAGTATGGATAGTGAATCACGCGACAGCCATTAGAAAAAAAAAACAATTGAGAAATGTCGGATAGTAGGTCAATATGTAATCTGTGTTGTTTACATTTTTTAAATCTTTGTTGTTTAATTTTTTAATTTTTTTGGCTTACATTTGTAATCTTCCAAGCTTACATTTGTAATCTATGTAGTTTAGATTTATAATCTGTTCATCTTAACATTTTTTATCTGTGTTGCTTACATTTGTAGTCTGTGTAGCTTACATTTGTCGTTTGTACTGCTTACATTTGTTATAAAATGAGTAAAACAGAGAAGGGTTAACCATTTCTTTTGCGGCCCACGTATACTACTTCCAAGCTAAGTGCTATTTCTTATTTTAACTTTTATACCGTTTTATCTGTAGTTTCGTTCGCTGACGAAGGCTTTCTGCCGACACGTTCATTGCTTTGTTACGTTTCTTTTTTCAGATTTAACCCTACTGTTTTAATCATTTATATTGTGCTAACCTGATTGCAGTCTCTCCTCTTATTACCCTTTACATTTGTTATCTGTATAACTTACATTTGTCATCTGTGTTGCATACTTACATTTGAAATCAGAAACAATCCGTTAACAAGTGAATCAATAGCAGCGGCTGGGGATGAACCTGGGGGAATGACTGACATCACATCATTGCTGTAGCCGTAGCCGCCTATTCTGTAAATAAAAGAAAGTTTCTATATACAAATATATAGCTTTACAACATTCTAAAGCTATACATCAAATTAGCAGCTTTAGAACAAACCTACAGCGATAAAAAAATCTGCAATAATAATAATAATAATAATAAAGTGTATTTCAAAAACACGCTTCATCCCCAAAGGCTCGAAGCGCAGTACAAAAGTTTTTAAAAACAAATTTTAATAAAAAATAATAATAATAATTTACACATTTAAAACAAACGCAACACTACAAAAACTAATTACAAAGTCAAAGTCTTTCAACCCATTTAAACCCTAAGCAACACAGCCATTATGCATTAAATGGAAAATATGGTAGACAATCTTCCCAGAACGTGTTTGCAAAAAGATGAGTCTTTAAATTAGTTTTAAAGGACTCCAGTGTCTGATAGTTTCTGAGATCGACTAGAAGGACTTTCCAAATTGTTGGACCAGCAAATGCGAAAGTGCGCTTTCCGTAAGTCTCAAGGCGAACACGTGGTGTCGAGAGTTTGCTACTGTCTGATGAGCGGAGATCTCTAGTGGGTACATAAGGCGTCAGCAGCTCTTTCAGATAGGACGGTGCCAGGTTATGTAAGCAGCGGTAGCACAAAGTTACGATTGTGTACTCTGTGCAAGCACGCACTGGCAGCCAGTGGAGCTCTCTTAGAAGTGTTTTTGCATGGTCGAACTTGCGTTTGCGGAGAGCAATGCGAGCCGCATTATTCTGTGCTATTTGAATTTTATCCAGGAGCATAGCTGAAAGACCAACCATGAGAGCATTGCAATAGTCCATGCGTGATAGCACAAATGCAGACATCAACCTCTTTGTTGCATCAATTGTTAGGAAGGGCATTATGTGACTAATCCTGAGCAGCTCTAGAAAAATCACTTTGCATAGCATGTTAATGTGACTTTCTAAGGTTAGGGATCTATCTAGGTAGACACCCAGGTACCGCACTGTTTGAGCTAACTCTGTATGCACACATGAGAGCGTAAGTGATGTCATGATATTGGCAGATTTTTGCTTCTGAGCGGTTGAGATGGGGAGCAGCTTAGTCTTATCGTTCAATTTGAGCTTGTTTGTGGTCATCCAGTATTTAACTGATTCAACTGTCTTCTGTGTCATACTGAGAATCTGAGGGAACTGAGAAGGGATCATGGATTGATGAAATTGGGTGTCGTCCGCGAACATATTGTATTGCATGTCAAACTACTTGATCTCTGCACCCAGGGGCTGAATGTACATCGTGAAAAGCACCGGGCCTAGGACCGAGCCCTGTGGTACTCCGAATTCGATATTGGATTTCTTCGAGATCAGGCGTTAGAAATAACTGACTGGACCCGATTAGTCAGATATGATCGGAACCAACTCAGCAAAGTATCAGTGAGACCGAACGTTTTTTGCAGACGCTGGAGCAGTATGCCGTGATCAAGCGAATCGAAAGCTGCCGATAGATCGAGTAAAGACAAAATCGATACCTTGCCCTCATCACAAGACGACAGAAGGTCGTTTACGGCGCGCAACAGGGATGTCTCAGTAGAGTGATGCGCCCTGTATGCTGACTGGAAAGGTTCAAACAAGTCACATTGAATGAGATGATCCAGGAGTTGGCGGAGAACGACTTTTTCTAAGATTTTGGATATAAATGGTAGATTTGAGATGGGGCAATAATGTTCCATCACATTTGGGTCAAGATTTGATTTCTTTAATATTGGAGTGACGATCGCCTCTTTAAAAGGTGATGGAACAATACCAGTAGCTAAGGAGTGATTTATGATACAAGTGATGATGGGGACTATTTCATCCAGACATCCATACAAGAGCCCTGCTGGAAGAGGGTCAAGCGAACATGACTTTCTTGGGGTATCAGCAAGGATTTTCCACACATTCGATTCACTGACCTCAACAAATTCACCCATAGAAGAACCGTTGAAGGGTGACAATTCTGGAGCAGTATCGATGCAACTGTCAAGTTTCGCCCTGATCCTCTTAACTTTTGTAATAAATTAGTCATTTAGAGCGTCTGGCAGCTCTCCTACAGCAATGTTATTTGGCAGAGTTGTAGCCTTGTTTTTACCGGTCAGCTGACCCACAATGCGAAATAAGTCCTTGCTTGAGCTGCTGCCTGTAATCTGATGACTAACATGCTCTGTCCTAGCTGCAAGGACCAACCTCTTGGTTCGTTCCCTGTGGTCAATAAAGAATTGTTGGTGCATGGTCAAGCCCGACTTCCGCAAAGGCGTTCTGCACGTCACTGCTTCTGCTTCGCTTCATTAATTTTGGACGTGAGCCATGGGGCAGAAGGGCGGTCCGTAACGCACGGTGTGGTCAGTGGTGCATGTTTGTCTAAAATGACTCTGAGGCCACTTTTATAGGATGTAGCGGGGTCTTTTTCACTGCACCTGAGGGCTGCGACGTCGCATCTGAAGGCCACTAGATCAATTGTTCGATGTTCACGAGATGTGACTGTGCGCAGAGGACACCCTGGCTTCTTCAAGTCTAGGTCAAAGAATATGGGAAAGTGATCAGATATCATTTTATCTTCAATAAGGACGTTGCGGATGACAACTGCGCGGTCCTCTCTGACAACAAGCCAATCCAGGATGTGACTCCTCTTCAGTGTCGGACAAGCTGGATACTACTGTATGTGTCAAGAGCTGATTTCAGAGTCTTCACATAGCTGTCAGTGGTGGAATCAAAGTGGCAATTGGTGTCACCTATTATGATGACGTTGTTATTTATAGAGGCGTACATGTCTAGGATCTGTATAAACTCAGCAGTAAACTGGGAGGCCTTCAACTTATTTCGTTTATTGGGAGGTGGCCTGTATATGCAAAGAAGAGAAATCGCTTGGTCACAATAATTAAGTTGCATCTTGCAAATCTCAAATGAAACAAACTGGTCTGATTTTGAGAACGCCACACTATTCTTGAGGGAGCTCCTGCAAAGAACAGCAATACCTCCGCCATTACGAGACAATCTTGGGCAGGAATGAAGGAGATAGTCCGGAGGTGTTATTTCTTGCAGCTTGACCTCATCTCCGACCTTCTTAAACGTCTCCGTAATGAACACAAGATCAACCTTGCTCTCTAAAATAAGATCACACACCTCAAATGTCTTGTTCCTGCATGACTGGGCGTTAAAATACAGCACCCCTAAAAGCCGTGATTGCGGCCTCACAAAAGGCTGACAGTCGACAACTACTAGATTTGATTTCGTCACACCCCTTCGAGGTGGTGCGAAATCATGGGCCAATGGCTGTGACCTTTGCCTTGATACGTAGGGAACGGGCAAGATCGATGACACAGTAGGTGGCTGATTTCTGTCGTCCTCCTCATTACTGACAGCTTCATGAAAAGGCTCCTCATAACGATTATCAACGCAATAGTATTGACACTGCAGTCGCCATGGCGGTATTTCAGTGGACGCTGTTTACGACGATAGAGACACGTCTTCTTTTGCAGTGTGCCTATTGGCTTACTTGATACTTTTCCTGTCTCCCAGTTAGGGCCAAGCTGAACCAGTTTTTCGATCACTTTTAAAAAGTCGGGGTCAACATAAACCGTGTTGAAGAGCAATATTTGAGCTTTGGTATAGCGCAGAATTTGAGGCCTGTAATAGTCTGGATCTGCAACTGCGTCTCTATAGTATTTACTCATTGGCCTGGCTATGATATTTCTATCCTGATTGGAAGCTCACTAGAAAGGGGCACACATGCCGTACTGTCAACACTGTGTTCACTTGTCTTTTTACATAAGAAAAAACAAACACCAGCAGATATCTCAGGAATACATTATCCGATTTTTAAACCGATTATACCACTGCACAGCCCAGAACATTCCGAAAATGATGATACCAGAATTTCCACATACAAATCCATATTGACACAGAAACTGCAAACAATGTGCAATAGTCCATTTCAAGCCTGTTAGGCGACAGTTGAACACATAACACAGTGATAATAATCAATAGAACAAATCTACAGGGAAGAAGAATTCAATTGCTGTACAACATTCTACCGCTTAAAACATTCTAAGCTGCACAGCAATCTAAGGCCATATAGTATTCTACAGCCATACACCATTCTACAGCCATACAGTATTCTACAGCCATACAGCATGATGCTATAAGGACCCGAATTAAAGCAGTGTGGGCTAAATATATGATGGATCAAGTTATGTTAATGCTTGAAATAAAATACAGAACAATTAATTATAAAGACGGTTTGGCCAAATGCTTTCTTCAACAGACAATACAAAACAAGGGAAAAGAACAGTTGAAAATGAAAAACATAAGCATTCCAAGAAAATGGAAAATAAATGTTAGAATTATATGCACATTTGCAAAATGTAATTGAAAGTATATGTTATTCTGTTCTATTGTTAAAGGCATTTGGCCGAAACATCTAAATGTGTATTTTGATTTCACACAAGGAAAGCTTTCCTACTGTTTCATTTATTCAATTTTCGTATATTTCATTATCTGATTTCAAAGCTTTTCTGATTTCAATATCTTTTAAAACACTATTGGTAGACACATAAGACTTCTGGTATAAATGGCCTGGGGTTTGGGGGAGGAGTTGTGTTCATGGTATTGCAAGTTCGTTGGCTTGACTAAACTTGTATTCCTTTCTGCTTGGGGTTAGAGGCTATTCTAGTTTGGCTATAACACTAGCTCCACCCAGTCACACTTACATCTTAAATTTTGATTCCCAAAAGCCTTGTCATTTCTCAGACCGGAAAACGTCATTGCGTACTATTTTTAGAACGTCGGCTGACAAATATTGCTTAAAACATGACAGCTTATATTGTGTTTCAGCATATCGTTCGGGCGATCCTTGTATCTAGAGTCACTGTTACATTAGCCGTACGCGCAATGAAGTCTCATTTCAGAAAATAGAAGTAAAAAAAATATGTGTAAAATATTTCGTAAAATAGAGTTGCTAACACGTTGCAGGGACACTTCGCTAACAGAGTAATACTGAACAATGTTGACATTTTGTCCGAGTTGAGCACCCGGATGATGAGTAATGATGACATGAGTTCTATTAAAAGATTTCCGCCATTAAATGACAAGCCCTATTGGCTTAAGGTTCAGAGGTATTTTTAGTTTGGCTACAATGCTATTGCAGTCAGTCATGACTTACCTTATATTAACATAGCTCGGAGTGTTAAGGATGCGAGAGTTTTTCAAGGCGATGGTGACTTGTTCGCGAAGAATGTGAAATCTGATCGTAAAGTTGTGTGATCCGTTTGTGGACGCAGCTCTTGCATTCTCTGATTGGTCAAAGAGGAAAGCGATTTCCGTATCTGGGCAGACTGCAATAAAAAAAAAATTGAAAATTTGAAAGAAAAAAAAAAATAAGTAGCTGTCGCAATTATGTTTTATTAATGTTAACTACGGTCAACATATACAATTGAATGAAATATTTAGACAAGCTAAGTTGAATCTTGAATCAAAAGACAGGAAAATAAGTCCTTCCATTCTCACATATTGTTTAGGAGTTCGTTGTCTTTAACAGGATCAAATCATTTGGGGCCAAATGTTGAAAACTTAAGTAATATGATTCATGTTGTTTATCTGGAAGTAACGCCAAGAAAGACTACCTTTGGAGCACCGTCACATCACACTTGGAGCGAGGCAAAAACACGGCGAGCAATTATTTTTTTCCCAAATACATGTATTGAGAGAGGGGGGCGTGATTCATGTGTTGGCAGATCATCTCACCGCTAAGAGTTAGAGGTTCGAATCTTTAAATTATTTTTTTTAAACAAATACAGAGTTGATATTGCATCAACAAATTATATATACATAATATATTTATATATATATATATATATATATATATATATATATATATGTATCGACTATATTATTATATCTTTTATTTAATTGTGTATATAAAGCTGCCAGACAGGTGGGATTAACAAATAAATAAGGTTTTTCGGCGCGTGAACAGACACATACAACTCTCCACGATTTTTTATAGAAATATAGAGTTGTTATATAATCAAAAAAATATATATACATAATATATATATATATATATATATATATATATATATATATATGCATCGACTATATTATTATATCTTTTATTTAATTGTGTATTTAAAGCTGCCAGACAGGTGGGATTAACAAATAAATTAGGTTTTTCGGCGCGTGAACAGCCACATACAACTGTCCACGTGGGAAGCATGGAGTTTCAAAATTTAGTCCACTCACTTGTAGCGATTGATCCACCCATGCAGCTTCTCTGTTTGAAATTATATTTATATAGCTCACAAAATTGTTTAAAAAAAAGTTAAGCCCCCGGCACCAAACACCAAATTATAAAATGGTTTACTAATTGAGAAACCATATTATTATGTCACAAAAACTGAAATGTCGTTTGAATATTATTCAATTCCTTCCATTCCCACAATTGCTCTCTGTGAAATTATAGGTGCATAGCTCATTACAAAAAAAAAAAATTATAATTTCCGGGCTTGCGAACAACGATTTCCCAAAATCTTAGCACAATCGGATGAATGGTATAGGAAAGCATACTGAAATTATATTTAGCTAATGACAGTATCACAGAAAAAAAATAGAATTTAGGCCTTGGGACCAAAACAGAATATTGTAAAATGTGTATAATAATTCAGAAAAAATGACGGGCGTATGCAAAATAACTCACAAAAGCTTTATCGCAATCGGATAAATGGCAAGTAGCGGATACAGGACATATATATACATAAATTAATTTTAGATATTTATAAACATAGATTACCGAAAGATACCATTTGCGCAACTATTCAAGGAAGCGCTGTGTCTACCATCCATCTGTCATTCCGTCAATCCATCCATCCATTCGCCCGTCCATCCTTCCATCCATCCGTGCGTCCGTCCGTCCATCGATTCATCCATCCATCTATCTATGTATCTATGTATCTATCTATGTATCTATCTATCTATGTATGTATCTATGTATCTATGTATCTATGTATCTATGTATCTATGTATCTATCTATCTATCTATCTATCTATCTATCTATCTATCTATCTATCTATCTATCTATCTATCTATCTGTCCGCCCGCCCGCCCGCCCGTCCGCCCGCCCGCCCGACCGCCCGCCCGCCCATCCACCCATCCACCCATCCATCCATCCATCCATCCATCCATCCATCCATCCATCCATCCATCCATCCATCCATCCTTCCATCGTAGGTAGGTAGGTAGGTAGGTAGGTAGGTAGGTAGGTAGGTAGGTAGGTTCCATCCATCCATCTATCTATCTATCTATCTATCTATCTATCTATCTATCTATCTATCTATCTATCTATCTATCTATCTATCTATATATCTAACTATCTATCTAACTATCTATCTATCTATCTATCCATCCATCCATCTATCTCTTTATCTATCTATTTATAAATCCATCTATCTATCTTTTTATTTATCTATCTATCTTTCTATCTATCTATCATCTAAGAAAGTCTTAACTCATCGCTATTTTGAAAATTAAATTCTCGCTGGTTTAAAATGAATGGGTTTGATATTCATGGGTATAATCGTGTAAATGTACTTACGTTTTGTTAACGTCACTGATTTTTTAATGTGTGAAATGAGAATGTCGCATCTATTTTACCCAACTGTAACATCACTGGATTTAAAGAAATTGCCATTCTCCATATTTTCTAACCCCCATATATATCTACCTAAGAAGGTTAATTATTTGTCAAATTCATTTTGAGGCGTATCGTGGGCTGCATTTGGCAAATGAAACTATAGTATTGCTACCACCCTCTCCCAACCCCTACCCCCCACCATTACCAAAAACAGAGTTTTAAAGAAATTACTAAAATGATCAACGGGAATTTAACCCTAACCTTCCATACGCATAAAAACAAGATTTTGCATTTCCCTTGCTTTGTTCTTATTTGGTTAAATGATCAGAGCATTAGTGAATGCTATTCCACCTCCTAATCCTGTCAACTTGCGCATAAGCTGCCTAACCGTCAGATATGATGTGAGAACCTGGTAACATATGCTGCTGTATGCAAGCCCTGCAAAGTTGCTGCATTTCTGTTCGGGACTTCAACCAGAAAGCATTTTCCACTTTCACGCTGGATACCCCCTAACACCCAAATGTCCATCTCGGCACTGGCCTCGATGGTATTGCCGGTGAAAGTATTTAGTCTCATCGATTTCAACTATGATAGAATCGCCAGTAGCATCAAATTCCCCCAATTTCAACTGCAATTTGAATTAAGCCAGATCTCCCGCATCCTCACGCATAAAGTTACACTAGTCTACCGATGTTGCCTTCTCCCTCACACCAGCTTCACGAGCCATCTGTTTCTGTGGCACGTCGCATGCCCAACAGTACGTCATAATAATAACTTGCCCCGGTGTTAGATGGCTGCGTGCGAAGAACGAGCCATCTCGTACAGACTTTTTGAAGCCGCACCCATCACAATCCCATCTACGCCCATCAATTCCCTGTGCATATCGGTTGAGTGTACGCGGTTGTTGACAACGTCCACAAGTCATTGAGTTTTTGAGCAAGCGCCTATGTGCGCACCATTGTAGAGCTGCAAAACTATTTGTCAATTGTTGTCCCAATGTAACCAGTGTCCAAATCTGTTCATTTTTTCATGTCCTGATCACTTAATACAGCATTAGGCAACACAATAAAACTATTGTTTTGGGGTCTGCCAGCCATTTTCTTTATTACTGTCAGCTAAAAACGAGAAATACAGAACTTAGGCAATGAATTTTTTTTTATTACCGACGCTAAAATACAACATTACCAAATATTTGTTTGCGCATGTAAATTTATTCGATTTCCTTAAAATAAAATAAAAATAACTATGATTGTTTTTAGGAATCAAATGTCAGTTATGTAGCTAATATCAGGTATGTAACAAATATCAGGTATATAGCTAATCTCAGGTATGCAAAATGTCGGATATGTAACAAACGTCACGATTACTTACTGGCTTACCGCTAGTATTTATATGATACAGAACTATCTTGAAAAAATATATTATTATATTTAAAATACGTTAGGTTATATATAAAAAAATTGTTTCATCAGGGCTTAAGAATAAATGTCAGAAATAAATTATTTTTAAGAAAAATATTTTGTACCGGTACAATATTTTGTAGTCTCCGTTTTGTCAAGGTTAAAAAAATACAATCTGTGTTGACTCCTTTAGACAAGCTTTCATCTCACTAGCAGGCCCTAAGAAAATCAATCTAGGGACCGTACCTTTATGTATTCATAATTCATAATGTCATCATCATGTCTGTATAATGTCGGCATGATGTCTTCATAATGTCTTCATAATGTCTGCATGTGTTCATAATGTCTTCATAATGTCTACATAATGTCTACATAATTTCTACATTATGTCTACTTAATGTCTTCATATTGTATTTTTTATGTAACTGCCATGTCCTTTTTTCTTATTATTTTCATATTATGTATTATTGTGACGATCAGCTAAAAAAAAACCCCACAAAACCTTAAACGATAAAATTGTTCCATCAATTCAGCTCAATCAAGCATAAAATATGTTCCTTCCCTTTCTTAAAAAATAATCCAATTAAAACAATAGAAGCATTTAAGAACCGCTGAAATAAGCCACCCTCTTTAAAGTGTGTCCAATTATTAAAACACAAATGGACGCATTGGGTAACATGGACTTACTTTGGGCGTAGATTGCAATCAGCAGACGTGCCAAAGTGAACAACTGTAAAAACTGCATCTTTTCTGTGTGTCTGAAACAAAGCAAAATACAATTATTATTTTTTTTTTGTAATATTATAAAATACTCAAAATCATACATAAACGTACACATTGTTACTTATATATTTAAAATGAGTTGTCAAACGTTATTTTCTAACGTTTTAGTTTCAATCATTAATGAATCAGTGTTAAAGAGATCAGCACTAATCTATATAATTGACTTATTGCTAATTTAAGCTGCTAAAAGATTAATTTGTTTAGCTACACAAAAAAATGTAAATGCAAAACAGTTACTAAGCATTTGACCTGCTTTAAACTGCCAGAGCAATTAACACCTACATACCTCTTAGACCACCAATGTTATTTTCTAATGACTGTCAGAACCATTAACACCGACCTTCCTCTCAGACCACAAATGTTATTTTCTAATGACTGTCAGAGCCATCAACACCTACATACCTCTTAGACCACCAATGTTATTTTCTAATGACTGTCAGAACCATTAACACCTACCTTCCTCTTAGACCACAAATGTTATTTTCTAATGCCTGTCAGAGCCATTAATACCTACCTTCCTCTTAGACCACCAATGTTATTTTCTAATGACTGTCAGAACCATTAACACCTACCTTCCTCTTAGACCACAAATGTTATTTTCTAATGCCTGTCAGAGCCATTAATACCTACCTTCCTCTTAGACCACCAATGTTATTTTCTAATGACTGTCAGAACCATTAACACCTACATACCTCTTAGACCACAAATGTTATTTTCTAATTCCTGTCAGAGACATTAACACCTACATACCTCTTAGACCACCAATGTTATTTTCTAATGACTGTCAGAACCATTAACACCTACCTTCCTCTTAGACCACCGATGTTATTTTCTAATGACTGTCAGAACCATTAACACCTACCAACCTCTTAGACCACAAATGTTATTTTCTAATGACTGTCAGAACCATTAACACCTACCTTTCCTCATAGACCACCAATTTTATTTTCTAATGCCTGTCAGGGCCATTAACACCTACCTTCCTCTTAGACCACCAATGTTATTTTCTAATGCCTGTCAGAGCCATTAACACCTACCTACCTCTTAGACCACCAAGGTTATTTACTAATGCCTGTCAGAGCCATCAACACCTACCAACCTCTTAGACCACTGATATTATCGTCTTCACGTAGCAACCTCTACGCCTTTATCTCCCTGTTCAGCTCCGAATATTTCACTCAAATAAGATGTCAGCTTTGTGTAATGTGTGCACAGTTAACGCAAACATTCCCACACCATTCAATAGTCTGTAACGTTAATAAAGGAGTGTGAAAGATACTATGTTCGCATTCTTCCTTTACAAATGACTTATTTGAATGTGTCGGTGTCACGCCCAAAACTTTCAAGGGTTTTAATTTAATTCCTGATTTGAAAATTTTTAAATAGCGTTTGCTTTATACGTCATATATATATATATATATA